CAGAATCTTTGCAGGACTATTTCATTTTCATCACTTTATTTGCATTTAAAGTCTCCCTAAAAACAGTCGGTTGACTTAAGCAGAGAAAAACGTGTCGATGATTTGCGTATGGAAGTTAAACGTCCTCTCGGGAATGGATTCCTTCTTTTACCCAGAGGCTCTGCTCTGCTTGTACAGTTATTTATCTGTCCAGCATTCTTTGGTGTTTTTATTTATTTTGCTTTTTATCTTCGGCTCTTAATAAAACAAACCACGATGCTTGTTAAGTTCCCACAGCGTGCCTGTTTATAGTCTGGCCTCTAGGAGTAACAAGAACATCATTAATTCTATTAGCTTTACAGCCTGCTCATTCACAGCTTTACTTACCGCTACAGAGCGGTGAAATTTCTGCCCCCGGTAGAGAAATCCATTTGTTTACCAAATTGAGCTTATCTGAAGAAAATAGAAGCTTGGTCGAATATTATACCGCTGAGCAATTAGTGCATGCTGCCTTCGTTTTGTTTAGTCCCCTAAACACACACACAGCTCACCTTGGTAACCTCTTATATTCTCTCTTTCTTACCACCGACAAAAACAAATTAACGATGCCATGTTTTATTTTTCCGAGGGCAGTCCGGCCTTCTCTGCATGGTTAAACAGCTCCTACCAAATTGCATAATTCCAACTGAAGCTTCCCGCAGCCCAAACCTTGCATTACCAAACATCAGATCCACTGAGCAGGGGCTTTGGTGATTGGTGGTCCCACTGAAAGCTGTTTGAAATGTATTTCACTCAGTCTAATCACATTAGTGCCGTATTTATTAGCTGGTTGTAAGCTGTCACTGCTCCTGAAGTCTATTGGAATTCTCTAGACTCCGGAGCTGCATTGCAGTATTTTAGTAATTGCAAAGAAAGGCTCTGCGCGTCTCCGAAGGAAAGACACGCCATCAACTTCCTGCCAGATGTCATTTTCAGTCTCCCTCTGCATGAAATGCTGCGAGTCATTAGCTTACGTGCATCACAGTCTCCTTGCAAAAGAGTTCACGCTAAAATGGTCCAACATGGATTTTAGATTAGATTCAACTTTATTGTCATTACACATGTACAAGGCAACGAAATGCAGCTTAGGTCTAACCAGAAGTGCAATAGCAGCAAGTGCAGGATAAATAATGGTTCCATAAATACAGGACATTAGTTTCTACTGAATAAGTATAGAGATGAATACTATTATAAATAATGAATATAATATATAGATCACTAGTGTTATGAACTAAATTTACAGCTGGATATGTACCGAATATAACATACAGATGGATATTAATATTAAAAAAAAGGTTTTTACAGTTATGTACAATAGCATATATACAGATGGGTTTTACTATAAAATGAATAGAGTTTGGCCAGAAGCTATGTAAATTAAAGTGCAGTGGAAGGTAATTGCATATTACAGTTAAAGTACGTTATTGCAGATGTAAATGTAAACAATTGGTGCTGTGAATAAGCAGTCGGCACTGCAAATTAATAATCAGTCAAAGTGAGTAGTGCAAGATGCATATAAAGAGTTGTTGTGTTGTGTGGGATACTGAAAAAGTAAAAAATAAATCCTGATGATGGGCTCTGCGTCGATATTCTGTCTGTTTCGTCTATTTTTAAACAAAATCAGCGCAACTTACTCCTTTCAAAAATCGCCCGGTTATTAAATAGAGTGCACATATTTCTAAATGGATCTTGGCTTAAACTGCGAAGGCTGACCAAGTTTCATGGTTTTTGACAGTTGAATAAAGGAAGATCAGCAGCAATAAAATCCTTCCCTTCAATCACAAAAACTGTACTTTTACAGTTCAATGTTGCAGATCTCTGCTCAGGTCCCTCTTGAAAATGAGATCCAGATCCCAACAGGGTTTACCCGGTTAAATAAAGAAATTAAATTATTAAAAAAAAGAAAAAATGTTATTATCTTGTGTTTAATAGTATTCAAAATTACCCTCCGTTTTTTTTCTCAACAAATTTCCTATCAAAATTTCTCCTTTATTTCATTCATATCTACCACGTCCACTTTATAATTACAATGAGTCCCCCCTAGGGGGCGCACATCCTGCTTTTGGAACCAGTGTTAAACATCTTGCATGCCCTTTTTTTTTTTAGATTAAATTAGAATTCAACTTTATTGTCATTTACTGTCACAAGCACAAAGCAACAAAATGTAGTTTGCATCTTTCCAGAAGTGCTTATTTTCATCCTTTCATGATTAAAAGAGCATATATCAGCTGTAAGCCTAACAAGGTTTCTCTGTGTGGGAGAAAAGCAACATCAAACATCACCGCCAAGGCATCCTAACATTGGAACATGGTGGCAGCATCAGGCTGTGGGAATGCTTTTTTAAAAATGGAGCTGAGGGGAATGTTGATGCTACACTGGAAAGACGATCTAGAAATAAGTAAAAAAAATCTCTTAAATTAGGTATATGCACCCTTAATTTGAGTGTTAAATGAGATAGTTTGCCAACAGAATGAGTTTTTTTACCCTTAATATAAGATAATTGGATAATATGCACTTGAAATAAGACAATTTAATTGTGTTTTCTTATTATAAGTGTAAATTGTCTTGTTCTTTCTCATTAAAGAATAAATGCACTTATTTTAATTTAAAATTACTTATCTAGATTTCGATTTTTTCCAGTGTATTGAACTAAATCTGGGGAAATCCTGTTGAATCTGAAGCAGAGACTCAACCTCCTGCAGGACGACCACAATAAGCACGCTTCTCAGAGCTACAATTTTTTAAACTAAATAAGTCTTTCATTTAAAAAAAAAACCTAGTTTAAGCCCAAACCTAAATACAGTTTAGAATTTATACATATTGTTTGTGTCTAGATGTGAAAATAGATAATTAACACTTATAATTAACATTTATTCAAAAGTCATATAAAACTATTTTATTTTTTGTATAAACACATTCAAGTTTGGGATGTTTAAAAGCTACTATGAATGCTTTTACCAACAGAGGGTTAGAAGTAAAGGCGCTTGGCTTTAATGTGTCCATGTTTTCCAGCCGTGCCCCAAAAAGCAGCAGGATTAGTAATCTAGCAGCACTAAGACAGAGAGGCTTGTTTGGCCGGTGGGCACTAACATTCATTAAGATACCATTAAGATACTAAAGAGCTCCCGTCGTTAATCATTCAAGTCATAAAACCCCAAATAAAAAATGCAGCAAGCACCTTTATCTGTTTTTTTTTTTTTCCTGCTTCTCTCTACCTGCTCTCCTTTAGCAAACTGACCTATTTAAGGTTCTCTTTTCCATCCCTTCGTCTTTCTTTGCCTCACTTTGTCATTTTAGATTAAATCTCCCATCAGTCACGAACACATGCCTGCGCTGCCACGTTCAGGTCTTTTTAATGATGCAAGACCAGAAAGTCATCACACTTTATAACATCTTGTTCTTTCTGGCTGCTGTTTCCTTATAGTTGGAAGGTGTCTTTCCTCAAAGCTCAGGGGAGAAAGATGTTGCAAACAAGAAAAGAAAGGCTGCTTTTACGTATTGCTGTCTCGTCATTAGAGACGCATGAATATAAAATGGACAGAAATAAGGAAGGATCACTGTACGGAA